CACTTAATAATAAGCCAAATTTTCTTTTCAAGAGGAAAGACAAACATAGTCACTCCCTTAGCATGACCCATGACTTAAAATCCTCTGGCAGAGCCTCCCAGGTGCCTTGGTGATCAGGCCTACGTCTCCAAGGAGAGTTCAGTGTGGCTCTCCCAAAGCCCCAGAGATGAGGAGAACCTACACTGGGATGTTGAAAACAAGCAAAAAGCCTGAAGCTAATGTTCCATTTTCTCCTACTGGCATAGTCCCCTGTGAGGAATATATTCCTCTGTGAGGAATGTAAGGAGCTCCTCTGAGTACTTTAACAAGGCAAAGTTCAGATTCATTTTTTTATGGCCTTTGAAAAACACTGATATTGTTTCAAATGTGAATTCACTTTGGCTTATGTCTCTCAAGAAAAATGTCCATTTGAAACCTGAAGCAAGTAGAGGGGAGAATTATTAACACGACAGAGGAAAATTCTCCCAAGATTTTTAACTCTATCTAGACATCAAAGCTTTATCTAAATCTGTACTCATGTAAATCAATTAAAGTTATACGCTATTTTGCTTGTTAGGTTTTAATATGAAAATTAATTCTGACCAAAAACTGTGTTGTAAAATTGAATACATATTTTATGCATAATAAGGACTATATGTAGCAATGATACATAATAATTTCACCTGCAAAAAAGAAATATTTGTTAAGGTGGAGGTATTTCAAATATCAGCCTAGAAATCATATTTAAAAGTGAAATAAAAGCAGTCATCTGATAAAGTGGTTAATTCACCACTTGAGAAGGCCACAGCCCATTTCAGAAAGATTACTACGCTCTTCTACTTCTTCTACTATTTCCTTCTTTTATTATTGAAAGATTTATTTATTTAAATAACAGAGAGGAAGTGAGTGACAGATGGGGAGAGATCATCTGTTTGCTGGTTCACTCCCCAAATAGATGCAACAGCTAGCATCGAGCCAGGATCCCAGAATTTAATCTAGGTCTCTCATGTGAGTGGCAGGGACCAGATTTCTTGGGCCACAGCCACTGTTTTCCAGGCACATTAGCAGAAATTCAGATGGGAAATGTAGGAGTCAGGACTTGAATCAGCACTCTGAAATGGAACACCAGCATTCCAAGCCACTATGTTGCAACACCTGCTCACATTTTCCTTTAAATAAATCCACTTAAAAAACACAAATGTAGGATCATTCTAACAATGCTATTGATAAAAATGCCAGGTTTGACTTTTTGGATACATTTTTCTATTATACATGAAAATAAATGTATAACAAATGAATTTTTAAAGATTTTTTTTCCTGACCCAGTAATAAAAGACTGCTTCATAAATGATGGGATATGAATATTATGAAAAAGTATTATGGAGCTTAACTTGCTTGAAAGCATGAGTTAGGGTTCAGGGAGAGGTAGAGAGCACCGTGGGAAGGAGGGCAAGGCTGCACAGGCTGTGCTTGTTGATACCCAATCCTCCACCCTTTCCAGGGAATTCCAGTTTCCTTTGAAATGCCAGTGTATCATCTCCACCCAAAGTCTTATTAAACATATTAGTCCCATGTTCTCAAACATACTACATTGTACCTTATGCTGTAAAATTCTAAATTATTGACACAAGGACTTACTGAAAACAGATTTTATAGAAAATCATCTGTGAAACTAAAATGAAAATAAGAATGCCGACACTGCACACATAGTAGATAAACTTATTTGACAGCAATTAATCTGTATGGGTGATCATGAAGTACCAATTGCGAAACATAAGTACATTTGATTTTCTTAAATCTTATAGCAAGCCAGAACTTCAAAAGTGGTCATGTTGAGATGTGGATAAAACTACTTAATAGCATTTGAGAATCAGGACAAAATGAAGTACTGGTTTTCTTTGAGAGCCATCTTTCTAAATTCACTCTGTGTGTACTCTTCATCCCAGAGGATCAGTTATTCAGGTTGATAAGGGAAAACATCAATAGTTTTCTTGAGAGAGAGAGAGAGAGAGAGAGAGAGAGAGAGAGAGAATATCAAAACAATAGGAACTAGAATTAATTTACCAAACACACAAGGGGAGAATTTTCAATAGGTATTGATGAAGAACTCGGTAAAAGTATACACACTCAGTGACAGAGTATACCTTCACTTCTACAAACAGAGGTCTTTCACGTAGTTTCTTGTGCTCTACAACGACACACAGAGCAGAAACACAAACAAAAAAGTGCTGCAGATCCTTAATATTTCCAGCTGTTAAGGCAATATTGCTGAGAGCTAAGGTTTCCTCTAGTGCAGAAACCAGCACCCAAGATGATGCAGCCAAAATGATGTAGTCATATGTACAGATACATACATACATTTCTCCTTTAACTTGCTCTCTGCTTTCTCTTCTAGCAGCTATAGATGTTTGTTTAGTTTTAGTAGCTTTGCCTTCACAAAACCTCATCACCAATATTACATCTGCCATAGTTCTGTTGATTGCTGTATTTGTATTTGAAATGCCACACCTGAAGTTGTCAAGATAAGGATTAAAAGCAGCACCTGTTGACCCACCCACCACACTGCGCACATATGGAATCCTTTCAGTCCAGCTGTCTGTTTTAGCAAACAGCACTTTCATTCACAGATTGCTCTCCTGGTAGCCTGCCAATTGCACGGAGCTTTTCATTTTGAGAGATGGCAGTAGCTCTTTGTGAATCCAGAAAATCTAGTGACCTTTTCCTCAGCAGAAGTACATGGCATGCTGTTTCCAGTGCTGAAGAATTGAAAACAAACCACCTTCATTTTAGAAAGGACAGCTGCAACAATCCTTTCTGGAAACATATTATCCCACTAGTGTTTGGAGCTCCTTCTTGCAATCCTTGTTGGAGGTCAGCACTTGACAATGCTGCTTTATTGGCTTGTTCACGATGCATTCGTTTTATTCCATCTTATACAGAACACTGCCATCTCAATGGGAGAGGGAAAGGCTTCCCAAGTCCCTAAGCTTGTGCAATGATTGTTTGCTGCTTGATGCTATGCCTCCTGTTCACTCCTTACCTTGCTTCAGTGAGCATATGCCTGATTTAACGCCAAAGAGTCACATTTGTCCATATCTACCCACAGGGATTCCAAGAGATCACGGCTACATGCCACCCCTGTGGGCACTCCCACAGACTGTGTGCAAACACCAGCAGAGTGGCAAGGAATCCCTTAACATTCCTGAGAGAATAGAAGCCAGGTGTGGAATCTGCAAAGAGGGTGGAATCTGGGTGTGCATGACAAAGTTTCTATATTGGACATATTCTCAGGAACTCAATATCATATCTCTGTTCTTAATTCAAATTCTTGTTAAAAACTTCGATTCACCATTAAAAACTCCTAAACTGACTCCAATTTTCCTTTTAATCTTAGAATTTATTACAACTTATTTTTTTTAAATTTGTTTAACATATAAAACAAGGAAACTTTGCTCTTAATTGTTGTTACTTGGGATGCTTGCATTCCATTGGGAGTACCAGGATTTCAGACTCATCCTGACTCCAGGGTTCAGGTTCCTGCTAATGCAGAGCATCAGAGACAGCTGCTGATGGCTCAGGTGGTTGGATTCCTGCCAATCTAGACTGAGTTCTCAGATACCTAGATACCCAGATACCTAGACTGCATTCCAGCTCCTGGCTTTGGCTCTGCCAAGACCTGGCTGTTGTAGGTATTTGGGGAGGGGGCCAGTAGCTGAAATTTCAATCTCTTCTGCTCTCTCCCTCCCTTCTCTCTACCTGTCAAATAAAAGAACATTTCTAAAAGATTGCCTTGTTACAGTGATTAAATTTGTGGATCTGGGGGTAAAAACGCTGGGCTCTATGTCTCTGAAGTTTATTAGCTTTTTTCTTTAAAAGATTTATTTTATTTTTATTGGAAAGGCGGATATACAGAGAGGAGAGACAGAGAGGAAGATCTTCTGACCGTTGATTCATTACCCAAGTGACTGCAATGGCCGATACTATGCCGGTCCAAAGCCAGGAGCCTCTTCCGGGTCTCCCACACGGGTGCAGGGTCCCAAAGCTTTGGGCCGTCCTCGACTGCTTTCCCGGGCCACAGGCAAGGAGCTGGAAGGGAAGCGGGGCTGCCGGGATTAGAACCGGCGCCCATATGGGATCCCGGGCGTGCAAGGCGAGGACCTTAACCACTTCCGCCACTGCGCCACCACGCCGGGCTCTTTATTAGCTTTTTGATCTGGCAAGTTATTCAAAGTCTCTTAGAGTCTGTTTCTCCACATAGAACAGGAAGGTAATCCCACCCACTCCCTCGGAGAATTGTAGTGAAGATAAGGGAAAGAACTTGTGCCTTGGCAAGCACTGCATAAATATTAACTGTGACTGTTTACACAGTCTGCCTCACCTCTAGCTAGAAACTACCAGATGTCTTGGTATAGTTGTGACAAATCTTTGTCACTCTTTACTGAACAGGATTTTTTTGTTTGTTTAGTAACTTCATTTATTCTAATCCTACTAGATTATTAAACTTCTTAAAATATTTTGTTTCAAAGTCATTTTATCTAATTTGCTTATGTTTATATTTAATAATCATAGATTGTCTTCCATTGTTTATAATAAAATTAATGATTCAATTACTTTATAAACCTGGCAAGATTATATTACTATGACTGTTAAGTTTATTAATTTTCTCAAATTTCACATTTCACTCTAGAGAAAATATGACTTAATATAAAGTATGTCTTTAGGACATATATCAACTAAAATTGAAAAATATAGAAAAAAAAGTCCTAAGAAAAAGTGCGTGATAAATTTTTATAGAAAGATTTTAATTCTTTTGCTTCTTGATTGCTTTTAATATAGTACACAATGAAATACTTGTGTAAACTTAAGCCAGTTATTTTCCTGGATGTGATATTGACCTTTGTATTCTCAGTTTATCATAATTGGTCAACACTGATGGTTTTGGGAGTGTATATATAGAGAGAGGGAGAAGGTGAGCCATAAGCCTTTTGAACATACCTGCACTGGAGCTGAGAATAAGAACAATGGGGTTACGTAGAAGCTCTGTTTTCCTCCTAGGCTTCCTTCTACTGCAGCAGTCACATTCTTCCTTGATTAAACTGAATAACAATGGCTACGAAGATATTGTCATTGCTATAGATCCCATTGTGCCAGAAGATGAAGCATTAATTGAAAAAATACAGGTAAGAACGAAATAAGATTTCCTCTGTTTAATTACAACGGAGGGGGGAAAAAACAGCTGATGGTAACTCATCATGATAGAAATTTCTGAAAATGCTTCAGGAAGCTAAAATACAGTATGAAGCCTACAAATTCCTCTCTTATTATTCTTTGTAAAATATAGAATAGGTTGTTGTAAATTATGCCCACTCACCATGCTATAAAAGACTGGAATGAGCATATTCTGACTACGTAACTGCAATTAGTAATCTGCTCTCCCTCTCCCTCTCCTTCCTACTACTATTTCTAACATGAACTTATTCCTAATATTCCTAGTATAATAGGACAAAGTGGAATAGTAATTGTTCTAAGAGATAATCATGGCTTGTATGGTTGCAATGATCATGTGGTCTTTAAAAATACATTTTATGAAAGGCAGCATGCTGCAGTGAGGGCAATGTTAGAACAGGCGGAGGGACCTCAGTGCCATAGAAGGATTCTGCCCTACCTCAACTCAAGACCTGAGACAAGGCAGGGTGGGGCCCTCTGATCATTAGTTTTCTTCACTTACATATTAATAGTTGGTCTCATCTGAAATTATTTATACAACTCCATGGTGTGCATGGGGAAAGAATAGTGCTTTAAAATAATTTTCTGCCCTAGGTGTGTATGTTCTCTACAGACATAGAGGTAATTAAAATAAGTAAACAGCAGGTCACATGATTTTAGGTGGTGTGGAGCAAAATACATCAGTAACAGAAAATACAGAGCCTAGGACTGAATCAAGCACTCTGCTTTCTAATATCTGTCCAGCCTGTAATATTTCATGTGTACGTAGGAATTGATGTTACAGTCGTGTAAATGGAGTTCCTAATCCTGAGGCAGGGTAGAGTGTGGTTACTGTGACTTGGAAGGTTAGTATGTAAGACCTCAGCGATGATATGCTGTCAGGGCTGAGACTAGATGAGCGGGGAAAGAGTCCATTGCAAAACTGAGCATCACGCAGGACAGGGCAGGCATGCAGGGAGCAAGGAAGGAACAGTGACTTAGCAAGAGGAAGAGAGGTCTGAACTGGAGCTGGAAAGGTGGCAGGGCTTTGGCCTTCAAGCTGAGTGAGGTGACAGGCCACAGAGGAAGGCCCAGCCGAGGAAGGCTAGGCTCTCCTGCTATGTTCTGGGCTCCTACCGACTGCAGTGTGGAGCCAACAACAGAGGGACTCCGCTTGTCATCCACCTCATCTAAAGTGCTGCAGCACAGCCATGGAGAAGGATCCATGCCGGAAAATGGCACAGATAACCAGGACATGTGACTAGGACAGGGAGGATGTGACAGGAATCATCAGTGTGGTGTGATTTGGAACATATTTTCAGGTTATTCTGCATAAAATATCCTGACGTTTTAGAAATGGAAAGCGAGATAAAAACACAGGAAAAAAAAAAGACAGGAAGCAAAGGGGACTTCCAGAGTTTGGCCTCGACATTTAATGGCATTGCATTCATTTGAGAGAGAGAAGATTGCTGCATGGGAGTGGGGAGAGGTGGCGGAACCTGGCAACTGAAAGATCAGAAGTAGGTTGGAATGTTTTGAATTTGTGGCTCTTGTGAAAAATCCAAGTAGATACTGTAGGAATTTGAATTTAATGTGGACTTCTGGATAGAGATAAGTAATGAGGTGTCATTGGTGTAGAGGTAGTCTTTAAAAATATGAGTTCACTGGATATGTGCAGACGTAGATGGGAAGGCATCCAGGTCTCTGATTTCTAATGGTTCTTCTGACTATAATATTCCATGTAACACAGAGACTGGTTTCCAGTCATGTAAAGTGATCTCTCCTATTCCTGCCATCAATGTCTGTGAATGTCTTGCACTCATGTCCTCCACTGCTGGGTCCTGATGCTCACTGTAGCCTTCTGCATGGTGTTGTTACCAACAGAAGTCAACGGGCATGGTACCTACTGCAACCAAGTCATCATGTGGCTGTCACTTGTCACTTATTCCCAAAAAACACTGTCTTAGCACAGGCAGCTTGTTTATTGGTACCTCTTGAGTTGCAGAAGATAAAAATGTGTTTTGTTGAAGAATATGCATTCCTACAGAAGTTACCACAGCTAATTCTGTTAGGGAATGGTGGATTAACTAGAACTTTTCTGAACTCAGCAAAATTTGAAATAATTTTTTGCAGGAGCAAAGCCTTTGTTCGCACATTAATTTATTGTTAGTTACAAATAGAAGGTCGGTTGTTTGTATGCATGTCTACATTACAAAATGTTTCCTGACATTGCACTGTTCTCTACAGAGTCACTCCATTTACATCATTAGGCCAACAATCTTGGGAAGCTATCATCTGCATTTTGTGTATGATATCATTACATTAAGTGAACACTGCGGTTCAGAAGGGAAATTATTTTTCCAAGGTTCAATTAAGTAACAGAATCATGGCTAAGGTTTATTTACCACATAAGCTTTGAAAACTAATAGATATGGGTTTTAGTTATGGCTTGGATGACCAAAAAATCCTTTCTTTCCTGTAAAAGTGATTAACTAATTTGTGGTCTTAATCTTACTCTTAAGAAAACAATGTGGCCACAACTAACTTTATGCTTACGTGGATTGTAATTCATGAGCTGAACTATTCAATTTTCAGTTTACCTTTTTCTTTGTGTTTATGTTTCTTTTTGACTTGACAGTGTTTTGCTTTGAAACCATTGATACATCCTCATCTTCCTTGATGTAACTAGGTTATTATAGGACCTCTGAGAAGGAATTTAGAAGAAATCTTAAAGGAAAGTGTTTAAAAATCATTGTAACCATCTTAGCGTTCCCTGGGGAATGACCTAATGGGGTCCCATAAAGGGATCTCTGAAGTCTCTTTACCAGCCAAGAAAGCACTGATAGCTCAGACAGCCTCCTGGGATGTGGAGACTCCAAAGGAAATGGCCGCCTTGGTGTTGTACATTGCATAACCCACACAACTGTATGGACAGCCCTAATGGTTCAACTCATGAACCTGTGTCAAGCACTGAACTCATTTTTGTTTCATATACATGGAGAACTTTCACTTCAAGCAGAAGGTGAAATGGAAATATCACTAAATAAAAACAAGAAGAGATAACATGAGGCAGCAGAAAAGAAGCTCTTTCATTTGTTCTGGGTCAATGCTGAAATAGCCTCCATTCTTTCTTGAGATGTCTCCAGAGCCCTTCTCCAAGTTTCCCGCAAGTCCTCTGGCTCTTCAATTCTCTGTAGTCTGGCCTCCTGACTAATCCCGGATCAGTCTGCAGATCTCATGTTATGCATGTCCATTAATACACTGGTCTTTCTTAAAGAGAAGCAAAAATGGAATGCCCCTATAATGTCTGAAGAAGAGCATTTGTATCGTGAGCATTTATGAGAACAATAAGCACCACGAAGAAGTCTGCCTCAAAAACAGCACTGTAGCCCAGGATGCTTGCAGCAAGATGAAGAGCTGGATTTCTCAGCAGTTCAGTGGGCTTGGTCACACGGAACATAGAACTTTTGCCTACCCTGTCCACCAAACAAATGGGAAGCTCTAGGAAGGGATTGTTTCTCTATTGATTCTTGTTTCAGGCAAGGGAGGAGGATACTGAATAACAAGTGGTATTATTTTCACCTGGATTGCAGAACAACAGTTCTATGCTCAAAATCTTGCCTCTGATGCGAATTTTTTATAGTATTACCCTCTGGACTCCAAGGGATGAAGAAACTGAGCTTGCTGGCATTACATAAATCATCCAGCATTCACATCAGAGCTGCAGCCACGTAAATAACTCCAAAGTGCGTGAATAGGTTCAAATTAATCAATTTCTCTTAACATCAAATAGAAACCTTTGTCTTCTGATAGAAGGTACCGAAAAGCAAAAGCCTCACAAAGAGAAGGGTTTTTCATTAGTTCTGCACTAATGGGGCAATGATGAAGCTGAGCAAAGACCCTGCCGGCCAGTCCACGCCTCTGCGTTACCAGTGAGAGCCAGGCAGCACCTGGGATGAGCACCTGCTCATCTACTTCACTCACTTTATTTTCTTTACTTGCAGGATATGGTGATTGAAGCTTCTCGATACCTGTTTGAAGCCACAAAACAAAGATTTTTTTTCAAAAATGTATCTATATTAATTCCTTGGACTTGGAAGGAAAATCCACAATACAAGGACCCAAAATATGAGAGCTTCACACGTGTAAGAGTCAAATCTTTTCTTAAAAATATTTTTTTCACTTTTGCCACTATTTCTTTGAATCTTTCTAACTATGTAGGTCATGTCTATTGTTGACATCTAACAATCTTTTAAACATCTCCAGGCTGATGTTAAAGTAGCACCACCTGTTGCCCCAGGTGCAGATGACCCATACACCAGGCAGTTCAAAGAATGTGGAGAGAAGGCGGACTACATCCATTTTACCCCGGACTTTGTGCTGGGAAACAAACAAGACGAGTATGGACCATCAGGTAGGAACTTTGATTAAAACACTCAATTTTGAGATAAGCACTCTACACCCAGGTTAATTGTGCAAGCTTTGGGGCCGAAGGGCTAGCATCAAATCCTGGCTCGCCTGTTTATTAGCTGTTTGGCCTTGAACAAGGGACCTAATTTCACTATGTGTATTCCCTTTCAGATGACGGAAAGAGTTTATACCCTGTAGAAGTTTGGTTGACAGTACAGTAAATATGAATGTAAATGTATTCTCTACTGTGTCTAAAGAAATTTAATAAATTAAATATTTATTAAATTAATAAAAATAAATAATAAATATTTTTCTTAAGGAACCCTTGGTAGAGTTGAATTTTTTTTCTTGCTCACAGCTGGATGTAAAGCAACCACAAGCTCCCTTCACAGCAGGGAGATGGGTGGTGGTAGAAAAACACCCAGCTGCTAGGCCCTTGACAGGAGCAAATCTCAAAATATAATTTCACTTCTATACATGCCATTGTTTGTACTCTATATTAGTTACCACAAATCAGGGAAAACATGATATTTGTCTTTTGAGAGCTGGCTTATTTCACTAAGCCATCCTATTTTTATTATTAAGTTCTCCTTTAATCTTAGGCAAATAATTCTCTTTTAATTTGATATGTGTGTTTGTGAAAAAAAATTCACATTCTATAAGTCATTCCCTTAAAGCAAATCTTGTATTGAAAAAAAATAATTAGTAAGAGAATCCTCAAAATGTAGGGAAACTTTCAAATAATAATTATAATAATAGTAAGTATCTAGAAAGATCACCTGGACTACCCAGGGAGGAATTCAGTGTGGCTAGAGACTGCTAGAGCAGATAATCAAAACACACACACATTTAAGGAAGAAACATGACTTTTCCCTAACATGGACCCTTTGTTTTCCCATCTCAAGGACAGAGTGAGAGCTTCAGAAACACACCTCGCAGCACATCAGCCATTGTTTCCAATCTCTTCTTCTCATTTCTGTTTCTTAAGTTCTTCCCAGTAATCTAAAATAAAACATCCAGTTATGTCTCCTTTCCTCATTTCAATCTGTAGATTTATCTTCATTCTTCATTTACTCTAAAGTTCTTATGAAAAAGAAAGTATTCTAATTCCCTCCCAAATCTTCTCCAAGTCAAGAACTATATCTCCTACATTTTAATAGTTCTTACCACTTTTTGCTGCTCTGAATATATATTAATAATCATTATAATATATCTTATAATTGCTTATATCATATGTGCTAAACACAAGAAAGGAATCACTTCATTTTGACATCCAAAAAATTATACATATTCCACTACATGATCTACAACAGTGTTTGTCAATCTTTTCTTTATCATCAACTTCCTAAGGAGCATTTTAATCATTTTTCCTAATTGTTTCTCCATGCTATTTAAGCATAGCAATATCTAAGACTTTTTGCTTCCACGAACCAAAACACTAATCCCATTCTACTCTGCCCATAGCAGAAACTCAATAAATGTATTGATTAAGCATACTGTGAAATAAAAAGATAACATACAATGTAATGCAATATTTTTAATAAAAGCATAAATACAAATGTCAGTGCTTATTGATAACCTAAATCTAATCATATTTTACAATTGAAAGAAAAATCTCTTGAAAATATTTAAGATGCAAATGTTGTCACTTGAATGATGACTGGCTACTTGAACTATTTCTCTACAGGTAGAGTGTTAGTCCATGAGTGGGCCCATCTTCGCTGGGGAGTGTTTGATGAGTACAACAATGATGAGCCTTTCTATAGGGACAGTTCAAACAAAATTGAAGCAACAAGGTATGGCTATTAAAATTTTCATAGATGACTTCAGTCTACAAGTTTTCTCATTTTTCTTACTTTAATCTCTTTCAGATAACAATCATTCATTACTGTCCCAATGTAAATCATAGATGCTATTACAAAAAAAAAAAACACTTCTCTTTAAGAAAATGTATCTTAATGTTGCAACTTGCTATATCTTAAACTTCTCTACTACAGCTTCGAGAAGTCATTATAGTGCAGTTGTCACCACATGAAGAGAAACTAGAAACCTAGCAGGACAGTTACTCACTCTGGAGAGCAGAGTGGTTAAGCAAAGTCAGTTCCAGCTTCCATACCAGCAGCCTCATCAGTGTCAGATGTCCTGCTGTGGCTGGACATGTCACAAATATGCAAACCGAAAGGTACCAAGTTTCAGTGAAGGTCCTTCCTTTGTCCCATTGCACCACATTACAAGCACTTACGTGAAGACTATTGCATTACTGTTGTTTATGTTTGGTTTGTGCTGCAGAGTATGCACCGTGAGTATTCATATAGACAGCTACATTATATTCACTAAGTAATGGGACAACAGAAGCATAGACCTCTTTAGGAGATTCCCTAACTGACTGAAGTCCAGTCATCACTTCATACATTTGAAACAGAAGTACCTTATGAGATGGAATGTATTCATACATGAGTGTTTTTGTTAGAATCACTGCCAACTGCTTCCAACTCCTTGCTATTACAAAAAAAATATGTCTAAAATGTTTCCATCATCCTTTATCCTATCATCCTCTTGGCGACACTTCACTTTTTGCTTTCACTGAAATTGTGATAAAAATACTCCCTAAATAATCGCACTTACAGCTATTCATGTCTCATCCTTTTGAAAAAATTTTCCAAAAAGAAATCTGCAAAGAATGTCAAGTTAGATGTGTACCTGCAGTGACTATAATATATAACACATTATGTTATGATATAATTTATTATAGTATAATTGAAAAGTAGCCAATTAGTTTGATAGGGACTTTACTGTCAGAATAGAAAGTGCATGGTATATATAGAGGAAATATTTTGAAATAAAGAACATCATGAACAGAATAATGGGAACTTTCAGGAAGTATCAATGATTAAATTGTCTCAAACATTCACTGTCATATGTCCCTAGGTGTTCTTTAGCTATCACTGGTACAAATGCAGTTTATGTCTGTTCAGGAGGCAGCTGCGTAAATAGAAGATGCAGAACCAATTCTACAACAAATCTGTATGAAAAAGACTGTCAATTCTTTCCTGATAAAGATCAGCTTCAAAAGGCATCTATAATGTACATGCAAAGTATTGAATCCGTAAGTATGCCAATCATTACCTCTGGAATTTTTAATCAAAGGATACGTTATTATATCTTAAAAATACCTGTCAAGTGACATTAGAACTAAGTAATAGTATAAGCATGACTGACATAGTAATAAGCAACATAACAATAAGTACTCAATTATTTTTACCTAGTATCATTAATATTATTGAGGTATGTGCACCTTACTATAACACTAGTTCTCGTTAATCATATTTCATCCAATAGGCAATATACTTGCAAAATGCATTTTAAAAGTTTTCATCTTTCTCTTTTAGATTGCTGAGTTCTGTAATGAGTATGTGCACCTTACAATAATATTAGTTCTTGTTAATCATATTTCATCCAATATACAATATGTTTGCAAAATGCATTTTAAAGGTTTTCATTTTTCTATTTTATTTATCTTTTAGATTACTGAGTTCTGTAATGAGAAAAACCACAACGAAGAAGCCCCAAGCTTACAAAATAAAAAGTGCGATTCCAGAAGTACATGGGAGGTGATCAGTGCTTCTGAGGATTTTCGAAACACCACACCCATGGTGGAACTACCCCCTCCCACAGCCTTCTCTCTGCTGAGGTCCAGTCAAAGAATTCTGTGTCTAGTTCTCGACAAATCTGGAAGCATGGCTGTAAGTTCACGGGCCCATTTTTTTCTGGATATAGGGACAGGGGAGTTACTGAATGCTTAAGACCACTCTACACTCTATGTACTTCTGGATTGTTCTAAACAGCACGGAGACCCAAAGGACTTCCTTTGATCATGACCAAGTACCTTGAACACAATATTGTAGTAAGAGAAGCTCAAGGATCTCTGATTTCCCACAGGGAATGAGTGGTTGACTGAGGAGAGCTAAAAGCCCTTCAGTATAAGTTGAATTGGAAGGTCAGACCTGGAGATGGGAATTCAAAATTGTTTTTAATTATGGCTCCTTTCCTGAAAGCACTTGAGAGAAATGAAAATAGAGAGGGGATCAGTGGATGCTGAGCTCCATTGCAAGTCAAGGGGAAAAAAAAAACAAGTAAAATTTCTAACATGGTTCTATCTTTCTGGCACCAGTTGTACAAATGCTCTCTTTATTGCCAAAAATACCACAAAGACTTTACAATAGAGCATGGGTGAAAAAAAAAGAAGGCATGTATTCCTTCTGCTATTATTCTACACATGTTAGGTATTCTGTCAGGCTTTGAAAATACAGATTCGTGTCCTTGGGAAGTTCATTGTTCAGTAGAAAGCGTTTTTTCTCTACCTTTACCCATTAATTGACTAAGTCATACTCAGTCTCCAAAATTTAGGAGAAACATTCACTTCCTCTAGGAAATGAAGTGAACTTATAGACTGGAATAGACCTTTGTGATTCTGTATAATTTCCTGGGCATTTTCTAGGGTTCTATGTTACATTAAAATTATATCTAATTCTCCAAACTACATTGAGAGAGCCTTTAGAAATTGAAACCTTGTCTGGTTTATCTTTGTATTCCCACTGCCTGGAACAGAGTTCATCAAACAGGAGTGATCAGTAATTAATTATTGAAATGAAGGGACTACAACAATCAAACACAATAAAGTACCCGGGCAATAAAGTACCCGGCAGGATGACACATGTGAGGTAGAACACAGCATGCTGAATGTCTTAGCAGGGGAGATAATTGAAAAGAGTAGTGAATTATACATAACAATGAAAAGAGTTGCAATAACATATGATTTCTTGGCCAGGACACCCAAGTACTAGACACAGAATATGCAAGTAGTGTAGGAGTGTCACTGTGAAGAAAAATATCCCGTGGTCAGGACAAAAAAAAAAAAAAGAAGAAGATGACGCAGGTTCCTCTAGATAGGGCAGAGGTTGAGTTGCAGTACATCAGTGGTGGAGAGAGCCCTAGAACGTGAGGAGGCAGATTTTTCATTGGATTTCCTTGAGGGGTTCAGAGGAAAGTTTGAGCATGTGCTCATGAGGTGCTACAGACCAGTGCATGGATGAGGTATAGGGAAAGACACATTTGTAAAATGCAGGAGAGCCTGGACAAGCGTGTAGGGAAGAGGGATGTGGGTCCTGATGCATAAACAAAGACCCAATTCCAAGTAACCCACTGGTGGAGAAGTGTGGGCCATGAGGGCAGGTTGGTGGGTGGGAGAAATTAGAAGTAAAGATATAGGCAGGACCTCTCAGAATTATCTGTGGCTTGGGCAAATGTCACCCTTTGGGTAGTGTAGTTTCTGGCTGATAGGGCAATTCCATTCTCTGTTTGGAGTTTGAGATAACTCTGTTTTAATTTACACACCGGGTTGTGATTTCATCTGAAAGCAGGCACAGAATCCATAAGATGCAAATCATTATCTCTAATTCCACCTCACTCTCCACTCTGCCCCTTTGCCTCTAACTTGAGGCTTTAGCTGTCAGTGACCAGTTCTGGTTAATGGTTTGTGCTACTTACTGTACATGTATGTCCCATAATATACTTACCTTTATTTTTCAATTTTGGCAAATAAAAAAAAAGTGATCTTCAGCAATACCAATTAATATTCATAGAAAATTCTCACCAATAAATTTTATGTACTGATTTTATGTGATCTGCTATTATCCCGTCAAAAAGCACTTCTGTTGTCTTTTTTCCTCAGGGTTATGACCGCCTGAATCGAATGAATCAAGCAGCAACATATTTCCTGCTGCAGGTTATTGAATATGCATCCTTGGTAGGGATGGTTCACTTTGATAGTACTGCTACTGCTCAAAGTCAACTGATCCTGATATCAGGCAGCAGTGAAAGAACCCAGCTCAAGAACACCTTACCCAAAGTGGCTGAGGGAGGGACTTGCATCTGCTGTGGAATTAGAAAAGCATTTGAGGTAAAAACCATACTGTAAATGTTTTATTCTTTTATTTATATTCATGATATTTTGGATTAAGTGCTGCTGCTCATTTGCTGCCTAATTTTAACACAGTTGTTCCAGAAGCCCAGGACTACCCACACAGGGAAAAAAAATCACTTGATCATTTTTTAGTGGATCAGTGAGTTAGTGAATCAACTGTGGGTGAATAAATGAAAGATGGACCAGATTATAAATTCATTGAGATCAGGGACTTTGGTGCTTTTTGTAATGTGATAGCTGGTGCTGACTGTGTTAAATAAGTAAGGATGCTGGGTCCAGCGGTTATCAAACTTGAAACGATGAAGCTCTATGACAAGACTTCACTTTGAAACAATTCTCATTCTAGTCTCATTTAGTTTCTGTAACTGATGTTTGTTACAACAGATCTAGCCAGGACTGCTGGTCATCCTCATGATAAACTACATGAGTAGTACCAGAGTGCTACTCACTCATTATATTGTAGGAAACTAGTTTCTTTGATTTCTTTTGTATTTTCTATAGAAAATAGAAATTTCTACCTCATATAAGTTATTATGAGAATTAAATGCAGTGACAAATTTATATGTTTAGGACAATATTTATTTATTATAGTGCAACTGTATAGTGTATGGTAGTGACTAATTTATTTTTATTCAGATATCCTGAGTTCATTATAACAACAATTGCATCATTTTCCTGCTTGGAAATCTAACATGTCAGCTAAGAATTAGAGGACAAGAAAGAGCTAATGACTCAGGGATGACGGACAAATGTAAAGGTTCTTGAGAAGAAAGGGAGGAGTGTATTGTTTTACTAAGTAGTAGCAGCAAGGGGCTTGGCAAATGGCAGAAGAAAAAGTGTGGTTGGAGAGCTAGAAAACAACTAGATCTTTAGAAGCTTTTTACAGCCTAAAAGGTTTGTATGTTGAGCAACACAGAAAACTGACAAGTGAAAGCATCAGATTCTGACAATTTATGCTTCAGGAAGATGACTCTGGTTGTCCCCATGAAATGAGTTGTAAGAAGGTGGGCAAGATGATGGCAGAGAGCCACTCTGGAAGCTTGGAGTTGGGTTATATTGTACAACATAGGTAACACATCTCCAGTGTTCACTAAATGGCAGCCCTATAACACACTAGTTCTCACACTGGGGAATACTCTGCCAATCATGTTCATTTTTGCCCCTCTCTGTGTCTGTTCAGTCATGGACATAAAGCAGTAAATTGTGCTCAGTTCTTCCCATGAATGCAGAACCTATATCGTTTCTATGAATCTCCAGTGTTATGAATGACATAGTCTAAGTGCTCAGTGAATGAACTTAATCCCAGAGAGAGGATTAGGGAGAGGAACCCCATTTCATCTTTGGATATTCGTTTTACACTTGTAAATGTGTGGGAGGAGTTTTGAGGGATGTTATATTAAAAACCATAAATGTACAAAAGTATGTCCCTACTTTCCAGTTTGGCTTCAATTGAATGTCAATTGAATGTCCGTGTGTTAAGATATAAGCAATAGTCATTCTGTGCCTCAGAACATACAGTGTATTGACAGCAATCAGTTTGTTCTCTGGTGTCAGTTTCATCAGGATTTCTATTTCAAACTCTCTTGTGCAAATTTATGTATACCTTTGCCCAAAAAAGCCACAGAGACTCTGGCATTCTGATTCAAACTTGCTTCATCACTGTGATGCTCTAAGAAGCCACTCTCAGAGGAGATGAGATAACTGTTAGCATAGGCTAAGTCCCCGTTACCTTCTCTTGGAGGAATCTGGATTTAGCACTTCAAGTTTATGGACTTTACAGAACAAAGATTCAGATTACAAATAAGATTTAGTAATTCTAATTCATTTATTATTTGAGCAACACCAAATTGCTTAGTTGTATGTTATGTATTACTAGAAGTAAAGTGAAACATACAGAACAAGGTCCCTACCCTCAATATGCTTGCCACTTTCCATATGTTTCAATCATTGGCATAGTGATGCCTTTCTAATTTTGAATTACTGGCTTTCATTTTTAATGGTGATATAGATTATTGACTATCTAGCTGTTTCTGCAACATATTTCATGCACTGAAGATTTTTTAGAGTAGTCCACTCAAAGAGAACAGATATACATATGATGTATTTATTTTACTTGGAAGAGTTAGAAAGAGAGAGATCTTCCATCCATTGATTCACTCCTAAAATGATCACAATTGCCAAAGCTGGGCTAATGTGAAACTGGGAACCAGGAGCTTGTTCAGGGTCTTCGTCATGGATGCAGGGGACCAAGGACTTAAGCCTTGAAAAGTCTTAAGGAAACTCATGCTTTCCCAAGCCATAAGCAGGGAGCTGAATCAGGAAATGGGGCAACTGGAACTTGAACTGACATCCATATGGGATGCCAATGCCATGGGCAGAGGGCTAGCTTACTACACCACCACACTAGCCCCAGTGGAAATATATTTAGTGGTACATTTTGCAGTTGTAGGTTGGATATCTGGTTGTCCTGCAGTTCCCAGGCTGAGACACTAAGGTTATCTGTTGTAACAGGGTCTCACGCCTAAAGCAGGGGTGAAGAAAAAACTCATGTTACATTCTCCCAGAGAGTACTGATTGCAGGTTCTATCATTCTACAACAGAAACTCTTTTTTTCTATCCTGCACATTTTATTAATTTTTTCTTTAATTAGAAACATTTCCTTCCATCCTATTTGATCTGAAAGTACCAGATGGTAACTGTTTTAAATTATGTTGTCAGGTGTTTAGAAGCCATAATCCCAAAATAGATGGATGTGAAATAGTGCTTCTGACCGATGGGGAGGACTCAACTGCCGGCACTTGTATTAACGAAGTAGCAGAGAGTGGAACCATTGTTCATCTTATTGCTTTGGGACCAAATGCTGAGTTAGCAGTGAAAAATATGCCCACAATAACAGGTAAAGCATGATCAAAATACTCCAGACCTTTAACAGCAATACTTAAATATAGAGACCAAAAATTCAATAGCTGCTGTCACGCTTCTATTCAGCAAGGGCAGGGACTTTGCAAAGACAACCTACCCACGTTCCAGTTCCCCTCATCTGCAGAGGTTGGATGATCAGATAAACTAATAAAACTGCTAATCAGTTCAAATGTAAGATAATCTTGCTTTACAATAGTGGAACACAAAAAAAATAAAGTTCCATAAAAACAGAGGAAAGCATTAATGCTCCCAGAACTGTATGGAGTAAGGGAAATAAGGCATGGAAAGCATGGTGATTTGAAAGCTGTGCCTTATCCAAGGTATTGAATTCTCTGGAAAGAAAAAATGGGGAGAGAAAAGAAAAATAAATAAAGAACAAAAAGGAAGTATAGAGGGAGGAAAAAGAAAGAAGGAAGGGTGGAAGGAAGGAAGGAAGGAAGGAAGGAAGGAAGGAAGGAAGGAAGGAAGGAAGGAAGGAAGGAAGGAAGGAAGGAAACTCATATTACGATGACAATGAAAGGCATATGGAGGGAATAGTGATCCCATGACACTATCCACAAATCAGAGCAGAGACTATGGGATGAGAGAATATAGCAGAAGCTCATGCTGAATAGAACTAAGTAACAATGGAAGTTCTACATAAATATTAATTAATAGTGGCTGCTGTTTTAAATACACAAACATAAGATAAATGCCAATTGTATTTCCGATGTCTTCTTAACATTATAAACAATACGTCTTCTGTGACTATCAACTCGACTTTAATATTGCCAAATGCAAGCTTTTGGAGGCTTAATTGTTTAAGTTCCCATTGTCTTAAAGTGCTTTCATGGCCATTGTAAAATGTAATTCATTCCCAAATATGACCAGTAAAGGTAGTACTTTTCTGGGCTTGTCTCCACTACTTAACTGTATTTCCTCTATTCTCATTGTCAGGTATTGCCAGAATAATAAATCTCTCAGATTTCGTGTAACTGCTCTGCTCTGGCTGGAAAATGTGAAAGCCAGCTTTGTTCCAATGATGTCACAAAAGTGAATAGCTCTCCTAAAGAACTGTGTAAAGTCCATATGGTTTAACACATAAATTTAAAAAAAAAAATGGTAGTCTGTAGTTGTTTCATACATTTCCGGTGGTTAAGCCTTTGACACTAAGGTGTTGAGGAGCTCAAAACATCATAGTCATGATATGTTTCAATTAGAATTTCAGAATTCATCTTTATAGTTATTGAACTTTGTGTATCTTAACACATATTGAGTGTAATTTTATTTAAATTATTAATGTATTAACCATAAAATGTGATTAGTGCTTTTTTTAGAAAACAATCTGATTTATGATGCATTTACATTCTAGGAGGAACACATTATTATGCTTCTGATGAAGCCCAGAACAATGGCCTCATTGATGCTTTCGGGTCCCTCGCATCAGGAAACACTGACTTCTTCCAGAAGTCGATCCAGGTCAGAGTTCCCACTCTGTGTTTTCATGTTTATGGTTACCACAACTGAGAAAATATTGGCTTCAAGTTTTAGAATCTGCATTTTTCTTAAAGTGAAATTTTAATCCAAATTAAAACTTCAAATTGAAATAGCAATTACTATTCAGATACAGGCAAACTAAGTGGTGAAATAGAAGATACACTATTCCTTTTTTTTTTTACTTCTGTAATGTTAGGCATAACATCAAAACTTAATAGTGTCAAATTCTCCACCAAAGACTATATATATATAGAACTGTATATATATGGAACTGTATATATATGGAACTGTATATATAGTGTATATATATATATATTCTCCACCAAAGACCATATATATATAAATATATTTATATATATATGAAATGCAAAAATATGCTTTTGCAAAAATTAAAGGAGAAAAAGAAAGAAGGAGGAGAGTTTGAAGGACGGGGGGAAGATATGGTTATCTTAGAATTGTTATCCATGAAATACACAAAATTTGTTCTTATATTACTAAAACTATTTTTAAATGACAAAAAGATTCAAATTAAGCAAATAACTTTCTGAGTACATTCTTTAAAGAAGTTTCATGTTTGCAAAATTTTCTCATCCTTCACTGCAATGAAAAGCATCCTTGAATGCTTGTTTCAGTGCTTTCCTGGTTCTTGTTCATCTCACTTTGTCTCTGCTCAATAATTCTAGCCACAATGTTCCATGTAAGATCATCATGAAGATGGCAACACACACACAAACACAGCAGCTAATTCTTCTCTGTAGTTGTAGTGCCCTAACTATATGCTTTTAGTTTTGCCACAACCACTGAGAAGATATCATAGAATCAAACCCCCAATTGTAAAAGCCATATTCCCAATCTGAAACTTTTATTACACCTTGTCCCTCACTCAGCCCTATGTTCCACTCCTGATAACTGGCAACTGTTAAATTCTGCTTATCTTTTAAGGAGATCTAAAATGGTATTCCATATATAAGCTTGTTCCTGGGCCAGAATTAAGAGCCAACGTCAAAAGAAAAAACATAAAATTCTTTTCTCCTACAGTCATTAACTTTTAGATATATTTTTGCACAGCTTGAAAGTAAGGGATTAAAATTGAACAGCAATACCTGGATGAATGACACTGTAATTGTTGATAGCACCGTGGGAAACGACACATTCTTTCTCATCACATGGCAAAAACAACAGCCAGTAATTTCTCTCTTGGACCCCAATGGGACATCAATGAAGGATTTCACAGTGGATTCTGCCTCCAAAATGGCCTATCTTAGTGTACCAGGCACTGCAAAGGTAAGCAATCATCTTTTATATTTCTTCTGAAATTTCTCTAAAAGCTGAAAACAAATCACTTAGTATCACAAGTGTAAGTGCCAATGACTTCATCATGTTTAAATTAAGATAATGTATTATGTAGTTTCAATGCCTATGTGATCTTGATAATTATGATGGCAGAAAAGGGGAAAAAAGAAGGCATGTATCAGGAGGAACAAAGAATAGGTAATCTAAGAAAAACCTTTAGGAGGGAGTATAGTAAGAGTCCATGTAATTTGATGTTGAGATGCCTACAAGATCCTTCTTCAGCAGTGCTACTAGGCTATAGAATCTGTTGACTATGACGCCAAAGAATGGGCCCAAAACAAATGCAAGCATTCTCAACTTTTTTTTTTCCAGTGAGGCATCTTAAATTATTGACACCATGTGTTACAGTGTGTCCTGTCTGAACTCTCCTCTTTTCACCCTCATAAATCTAAAAACAAAAGAAAACACTGCTTCTTCTACTCTACATGTATTCTGCATGTGCATGAAAGGAATTCAGAAATGGATACTTACCGTATTTTCATTGAATTTTTTAGGTAGGCATTTGGACTTACAGTGTTCAGGCCAAAGCCGACTCAGAAATATTAACTATTACCATAACTTCTCGGGCAGCAAATTCGACTGTGCCTCCAATAACCGTGAATGCTAAGATGAGTAAAGACAGCAACAGCTTCCCCAACCCCATGGTTGTTTATGCAGAAGTTCTTCAAGGCTACACACCTGTTCTTGGAGCTAATGTAACAGCTTACATTGAATCACAGACTGGAACAACACAAGTTTTGCAACTTTTGGATAATGGTGCAGGTAATTCATAGAGTTTCATAATTAGTATGTATTTTTGTAACTCAGGCCAGCAGGAAATTCTATCCAGGTAAAACTAACAAAGTGAGTAACACAGTGTCTTACTCAGTCAGCAAATACAATCTGTTGTTATCACTACTGTTTGGCACCTACACAGTCAATGTCTGTCACCAGTTTAGGAAGATTTCATTCTGGAGATTGAGAACTGCATCAAGATTTCTGGGCAAATGTACTAATGGGGTGTAGTCTAGAAAGTCTGAGCAGAGGATGAAGTTCAAGCAGCCAGATGTTATGTGATAGAACTTGGGCGCTTGGCACAAACAAAATGCAAATGTAGTCCTGGGAACTGAGGCCCAGGTGGTCTGGGACCACCACAAGAGAAGTTACCACTGGGCCTCAAATGACAAATCTAAGCAGCAGGAACTAAGATGTAGAAGTGGTCATGCCCCATGTGCTTGGTCTGAATGGGAAAACCATGCTTAAGGATCTTCAGACTGTAGATTGTCCCCAAAACTGAACCTTCTCCTGCGATGTAAGTGAATAAGCAAATAGCCAACCTGATGGACATCTGAACTATCAAAGATAAAGGCTAATATTTGTCTTAGAAAGTTTACAAATACATCTTTTTTTGTAATTCTTATGTGTTTCTTTCATTTCTGTAATAAGGTGCTGATGTTTTTAAGAACGATGGGGTCTACTCCAGGTATTTTACAAATTATACAGAAAATGGAAGATATAGCTTAAAAGTACGGGCATATGGAGGAACAAACTCTGCAACCCGAAGTTTACAACGTCCACTGAACAGAGCCATTTATATTCCAGGCTGGGTAGTAAATGGTGAGTAACATATAATAATTGAAACCCAGTGATAGCTTGAAGATTATGATTTCATATGATTAAGCTTCAAACATTTTGCAAACTCAGATAATAATTTTTTCCATTTCTAGAATGATGTTTTTAGTTGTGGTAGGGTTCACCTCCAAATTCATACAAATCTGGCACAACATCCACACTTAGTATTTAATAAATGCCAGTTGTTAGTTTGAAACGCCTTTACTCTTCAGGATATTATGAGCCTAAGTTACAAATTAGTGAATTGATACTTCTAAATAGACATGCTCCTAGAGTAAATAAATCCCCTTTATTTGAAATATTTTCATTAACTGAAAAGAAAAATATATCAACTGATAATAAGGATTAAGAATGCACTCTTCACCATCTGTCTCTTACCTGGATCTTCATCTTACGACTTTAATGGGTTTCCTATGAACAACTGGGATATTACCCTCAAGTACTGTTCCTTAAGTCTTACAGCAGGGAGGGAGGAACAGGTGGTTGGAAGCAAATTGACAACAAAATCTTAAGGTATATTCATAGCTTGGAGATTATTTTTAAGGTATATGCTGAATTATGTGGCAAATTCCCATTCAATGTATTCATAATTCCACAGTAACTTTTTATCCAAGTCCATCCTACAATATTCTGGTGAGGATACTAAAGACAAACTTCATATCAATTGGATGATTCTGATTGCTTTTGAAAACCTGGTACAAATGTGACTTTACCCATGGGTTGAGGGGGCAGGTGGAATCTGAAGATTTTTTTTTTAAATTTAAAAGGCCCATTTACAAAGAGAAGGAGGGACAGAGAGAAAGATCTTCTATTCACTGGTTACTCTCCAGATGGCCGCAACAACCAGAGCTGAGTTGATCCAAAGCCAGGTGCCAGGAGCTTCTTCTGGCTCTCCCACATGGGTGTAGGATGCCAAGGCTTTTGCCATCCTCTGCTGCTTTCCAGAGCAATGGGCAGGGAGCTGGATGGGAAATGGAGCGCCAATATTGGACCCTGGCACATGCAAGACGAGAATTTAGCCACTGAGCCATCATGCCATGCCTGGCAGGTAGAATCTGAAAAGAAAAGCTGGCTGGGGAAGGTGATTCATTGGATTCTGAAAATACTGTATGGCTTTACCCATTATAAACTAGGAAATTTTTTCATGTAGGAGTAATTGAAGGGAAACCTCCCAGACCTGAAACTAATGAAGATACTGAGACAACCTTAGAAAATTTCAGCAGAGCAGTGTCTGGGGGTGCATTTGTGATATCAAATGTTTCAAACAATCCCTTTGAAGACCATTACCCACCAAACCAAATCACAGACCTTGATGCCACATTTGATGGGGATGAGATCACTCTGTCATGGACAGCACCTGGTGAAAATTTTGATTCTGGAACAGGTAAGGACAAAGGGACCTGTGGTTATGACTTAAGTGAGAGGTACTCATTGCAAAAGCAAGGGTGTATGGTTGGGTGAGAGGAGAAGCAGTTTTGAATGACAGCTAACAAAGATATTAATTTTACAGTCTTTTTTTTAATTCAAGAGACAGGGGCAGGGGGTTCAGACAGACAGAGCTCTGCTAGTTCGTGCCCTCCACTCAATGCCTTACAATGCCAAGGACTAGGCATGACAGACAATTAGAGTAGGGAACCCAGTATAGTTCTCCCAGGTGGATGGCAGGGTCTCAACTCTTCCAGACATCATTTGCTGCCTCCAAAGTATGCATTTTCAGGAAGCTGGAATTGGGAGCCTGAGCCAGGAATCCAATACTGGTGCTTCAATATGGAATGTTGGTATTATGACTGGCATCTTAACCACTAGGCCATCCACCCACCCATCACAATCTGTTTCTTTGAATCAGATTCATGTATTTTAATCTATCTTTACTTTTTCCAAACATAAACAGTAATATTTGGAAGTATATGGAAGTTAGAACTCAGCTTCTGTTAATGAGTTAAGATTTTTGAGATAGGTTTATATTTTGTGCAACCATACAAAATTTTTTAGAATAGATGAAAAAGAATTAAATGTTTACCTTTAATAACTGCTTGTGTAACTTTTCTTCTTAGCCCAGCGGTATATCATAAGAACAAGCAAAAATATCCTTCACCTACGGGACAATTTTACCAATGCTGTTCTGGTTAACACCACGGGCCTCTCACCAAAGCAAGCCAACTCTAAGGAAACCTTTAGGTTTAAACCAGAAAACACTGAGGAAGAAAATGCAACGTTCATATTTGTTGCTATTCAGAGTGTTGATAAAAGCAACTTGCATTCAAAAATATCCAATATTGCCCAGGTAGCTCTGTTTATTCCTGCAGCAGATTCTGGTCCTGAAGAAAACCCAGGTCCTGGTGGAAACCCTAGTACTGGAGTCCCTAGTGGATCTGGAGTCAACATTTCTGTTATAGTGTTGTCAGTGGTTGGATCTGTTGTAGTTGCTACTGTTATTGTAAGTGCCACAATTTGTATCCTAAATAAGAGAAGAGCAAGACTTCAAAGAGTTTTCTAAAAAAAAAAAAAAGCAACATGTGTAAAGAACATTTCTGAATCTTTTTCATCTCGTGTAATCATCAAACCCTAAAAATTACTTTAAGAAGTCTAGAAAATATACTTTCATCAAACATAACCACCCATATGGGCAGATGAAAAATCATGTCAATAGTCAATTTTATTTATTCATTATTTTATGTCTTAAATAGTGAATAAAGATCCTTTTTCACATGGATCCCCAATTGTGTATTATATTTTGGATGTAAAATTTTCTAGAAGTATATTTCAAATTACATGAAGGTAAAATTGTCTATCTGAGTAACCAAAATGCAAGTGTAAAAAGATAGTAAAGTTGGGGCCAACATTGTGGCATAGGAGGTAAAGCTGCCATCCCCTAAGGGCCAGTTTGTGTCCCAATTGTACCACTTCTGATCCAGTTCCCTGCTACTGACCTGCAAAGGGAGTAGAACAATGGCCCAATTGTTTGGGTCCCTGCCACCCATGTGGGAGATCTGGATGAAACTTCTGGTTCCTGGCTTCAGTGGCTCAGCCCTGGCCATGGCTGCCAGTTGGGGAATGAACCAAAAGATGGAGGTTTCTCTATGTCTTCTCTTTCTCTCTCAACTCTGAGTTTCAAATAAATAAATATATTTTTTAAAACAGAAACATTTAGGAAGAATTAATTTTGTTTTGAAATTATACCATATAAATTGATACTACATTCACTCAGTCTCCAACCATACGCAGTAACAAACTGAGCTCATACTTACTGTAATTTATGTGCATAAGGGATATTAGCAATGTGGGACTCATAGCTAAGTTTCAATCTAGTTTCATCCCTACCACTGAGGTGACCATTCTAAATCACATGCAGATGTACAAAGTGAGAACAAGATCAACTGAAAAATGAAAGAATAAACATACATTCATGAGATGCGAGTTACCCCTGACTAAGAAATATCCATCAGGCAGTGAGGCAAAGAGTTTACAGAAAGGTAGAGTAAATACAATCAAAGCAGCATCTCTAATTGTGACCTTGGGCAAAAAGAGGGCTGTAGCCCATTCTTGGCCTCTCTGATGAGCTATGGGTTGGTGCTTTCCTTAAATAAATGAGAGCAGGAACTTGACCCTTGTGAAGTCATCTGGAATGTTTATGGCATGTCACATAAAATTTAATATCCATGTGATCATTATGGCATCTAGCCTTTCCTGCTCCCAGATGAGACATAGGTGCATCCTGGGAAGGCTGACATTTTAGACTGACAGGTAAATAGATGATATTACAGGGCTGGCAAGAATTCCAGCTCACCTGAAGAGCTGAAGAATAGATTCATTCATTCACATTCTTACCTCGTGTAGCCTTGACAGAAAGTGTTTGTTGATTTGGAAGTAAACTAATATAAAGCCATATAAACTGAGTGTAAGGCTATGAAGTCATTATGCTCTAGTGGGGCCCAGTAGTAGACTCTCCCTGCAGGTCAGGCTCTGATTTAATTCTAAGTCCACATCAAGTAGCTAACTGTAGATTACTAAATGGCTACTATTGCTAAAGTCAGAACTAGTTGCAAAATTTATGTTGCCCAGTGCCAAACGAAAATGACTAGTTCCTGTTTTAAGAACTTCAAGACAGAAACAGCAAAGTTTTAAGTCAAGTTCAAGGCCATTTAAACCACAGAGCTTCATGCAGCTGCATAGATTAGTGATTGCACCTGAAATATTCAGTCCCTGCATGGCCTTTACATGAAATTCACACGAAACTATTCATAGTGTAATCATCAATCCAGTTAATAATAAAGAATTTAGCTGTGGAAAGAAATCTAGTTTTCCATGTAAGAAAGATATGAAGCCCTAGGTGGGACAGAACAGCCTCTCTCTGTCCCAAACATAGAAACTAATGTGTACAGGTCCAGAATTGTAAAAGAAAGAAAAGCCTGTATCAGCAGTTCTTCGAGAGGATACTCCCCTAGAAGGTAACCAATTTGCAGAATCATAAGCTGACTATTCGCTTCCCCACCCAGGACTCTCAAGCTGCAGTACTAAGAAGGGATCTACAATCACAGTTTCAATCTCAACTGGTCAGCCGGGAACGGGGAGACTGCCTTGCCATGCTCCTCCATGTGGCTGATGTGTTTAGGGTTGTAGATCAGAGTGCCTCAGCAGAGGGTGTGTAAAGGCAGCCTCCAAACCCTGGTGCCTGCTGTGTGTGTTCCATTACATGTGCATAAAACAGGCCTTAGAAGAGTACACCTCAGTACAGCACTGCAGCCAAACAAAAAGCATGACAGCCAGCCTAAGCATGATTTCCAAAGATTCATCCCCATCGCTTGGTCTGGATTTTCTCTGATGCACACAATGTAGCTGAAATGAGAAGCAGTTTCATTTTTTATTCCTGGAAACCCTGACCTGACTTGTGAAAAGTCAGTTGTACTAACAAAATAGCACATAAATGAAATCAAATGAATGCTGTTTCAAGCTCCTAAGTTTTGGGACACTTGGTCCATAGCACTAGTAATCAATAGCAACATAAACAATAACCATATTAACCAAAGTTTCAGCAGAGCCACTAGAAATATCATAGAATGGGGTGGGTGTGGGGAGCAGGGTGCTAAAGCCGCTCTTGGGATTGGGAGGGGGCATTGCAAGATGGTGGCTGGCCCAGGGGCAGGAGGCAGAGTTGGTCTAGTCAGCAGGAAAAGAGGAAGTCACAGCGATAGGCTAATGCCCTCGCTGCAATTATGTCATTGCTGCTGGCCTATCAGGTAGCACCAAGTGGATCCACAGGGAGAAGTAACTGGTGGAGAACGATATAAAAGTAGCCAGTAAAGGGAGGATGGAGAAAGACGGAAAGGAGAACAAGGGCCGGAATGAGAAGAATAGGGCAGGGGAAGACAGATGGGGAAAGGAACGAGGGCCGGAGCAAGAGGAGAGGGATGATGGAGAAAGACGGGACAGGGAGAAGAACGGGCAGGAAGAAGGGTGGCAGAGAGAGGGCTGGAAAAGTGGTACAGAAGCAGTAAGACCTACGTATGGGGACAAGAACGGAGAAATGCAGCAAAAAGTACGGGGACAAGAACGGAGAGGGGTGGCAGAGAATGGGCTGGAGAAGCAGGGTGAAAAGCTAAGACCAATGGGGAAAGAGGCAGCAGAGCAAAGGGTTTAAATGTGGCCGCTTTTGGCAGTGAGGGGTCTGGTTGCAGTTCAGGCTTTTCCCAGACCCTCAAGAGTGTGCCTCATCGGTAGTGTTGCTGCTGGGCGGTGGCAGGTGGGGAATTCAGTAAGAGTTGTATTGAAAAAGTAAGACACTAAAGAAAGAAATTACAGTATCAAAAACAAAACAAACAAACCAAAACAAAACAAAAACCAAGGCTACCCAAAACACAGTAGTTGGGGTTAGTGCTGGATTTTGGTTTCCAGGCATGACCAGGGAGTGGGGTGGGACTGTGAGGACAGCTGCTGTAGAATGCAAGAACAACTGGCACCTCTAGCTGACCAAACCACCATGGGTTCGTTGCTAGGAGTGCTATGGTGGGCCTGGGACCTCTGTGGGTCAGCATGGTCAGCCTTTCAGGAAGAAGAGTCAGACAGGGAGCAGAGAAGAACAAGCTGGAGCTCCTCCCTCAATTAGGGTTGCTGCTTTACTCTTGCCAAGTTCTAGCAAATTACTCTCTGACCAGCCCTTACCCAGAATCAAAATGTTTCCTGGAGAGGCAGCTAAAATTCATCCAAATTGCCTCACTAAGCCATGGAAGTAAGCCCCAGTGTCATGCTGTGAGATAATACGGAATTTTCCTATGCAGTGGTAATTGGAGCCTACCAGCAGCCTAATTTAAAAAGGCAGCAAGCTGGAGCCTATGATTTCATGTGACCACACTGGCAGCAGTGATCACAGAATTTCTGGTCCGTCCCCACAAGGAACTGTGGAAGTATGAGGAGGCAGTGTGTTCACCCATCTGCTTTTATCTGTATCTTGTGAGGCTTTTATATACCTTAGTGGCTGACTCGGTAATGAGTTCAACTAAAAACAGCAAGTTGAATCTAAGCTGTCTTTCTCATCAATCTCCTCACTGGCACACATGTATATTTCTGATATTGAATAGAAGAACTGGCAAAACCAGAAGACAAACACACAGAAGGCAAGGAAGGAGTACTACAGACAAATGAAAAATAGGAGAGACTGTAACACTATGAAGAAAAAGGAAAGAATGACTAAAGAAGGAAGGAATAATAAGCTGTTTGGATTAATCCTAAAACATAACCATAGGATTTAGTAATATACAGTTATTAGAGATCTTAATTAGACCTATTTTTGAAAAATAAAAAGAATTATTGAGTTAATAGACAAAGATCGTTTTAATAATCTTGTCTGTGAAATAGAGATTTGAGAGGAAGTAGAAATTAGGAGAGTAATATGCAGTCAAAATACATGTTGTCTATAGAGCAGTTATCAAGTTTTATTATAATACTATAGAATTACATTTTATATATATACACTTTCTTATTGCATACATATGTTAAAATGCCCAAAGTAAAATTTCTTGAGGTTTATATATTTTTATTGGAAAGGCAGGTCAGATTTACAGAAAAGAAACAGAAAGAAAGATCTATCCTCTGGTCCACTTCCCAAGTGGCCACAAAGGCCAGAGCTGAGTTGATTCAAACAGGAGCCAGGAGCTTCTTTCAAGTCTCCCATGCGAATGCAGGGTCCCAGGCTGTGGGATAAGCTCCACTGCTTTTCCAAGCTGTAAGGAGAGATTTGGAAGGGAAGTGGAGCAGCCAGAGCATGAACTGATGCCAATATAAGATCCCAAGTTTGCAAGGTGAGGATGTAGCCATGAAACAATTATGCCAGGCCCCAAAGTAAAAATTTTATGAAAAATCCTTTGATTAATATTTTGGTATAAACTCAAGCTGTAGCAAAACCTATTTTTCTCTTCTGTGAAAATTGAATAAGTGTTATATGTATCCCAATGATCAATGGTAGGCATTGGGCTTCATTCTTGCTTATATTTAGTGAATATT